TTCACCACAGTGATGCTAGTCTCTTGTTACTGCTGATTTTTCAGCCCCAGCTAACTAGCATCAATTGTCCCAGTAAAGCAAAGGTTTTGCTTCGGGTCTCTTCTTAGTCACAGCTGATTCTTCAGCCCCAGCTGACCAGAACCCACAGATTCTCAATCCAAAATCTCACACGAACAACACTGATAGTCTCTGCTTCCCTTTGAAGCTTCACAAGCCAGGTCTCTATCATCCACAACTCTTTCAAGATAACTGTTGCATGCTCCACAGCAACAGACTCTGAGCACTCAATGGCTTTTCCAGCCCAAAGTTCAGAACACTTCCACAATCCTCCTAAAATTACCAAGGTTTGTCTGTCACAGCAATACCCTACTCTCTGGTACCAATTTCTGTCCTAGTTTGTCTCTCCATTGCTGTAACAAAACACTCTGACCAGTACCTAGTTGGAAAGGAAAAGATTTATTTGTCTTACATCTCCTGGGTCACAGTTCATTAGGGAGCCCAAGGTAGGAACTCAGGGCAGGAACATGGAGGCAGGAGCTGGAGCACAGGCCATGAAGAACACTGCTTACTGGCTTGCTTCCCTGGCCCCTGCTCAGCCTGCTTTCTTATGCAACACAGGTCCAACTGCCCAGGGGTGGCACCACCCACAGTGGGCTGAGCCCTCCCACATCACTCAGTAGTCAAGAAGATGCTCCATGGACATGGCCAAAGGCCAATCCAATGAAGGCAATTCCCCAACTGAGGCTCCCTCAACCCAGGTGTGTCAAGTTGACACTAAAGCCATCCAGCACATTCTCTATCTACACTGAAACTGTAATATTAAAGAAATTAAGACTTGCTAAAGGAATATCTTTTTCAACAAATTAATTCATAGGGCTGGAGAGATGGCTTAGCAGTTAAGAACACAGGCTGTGATTGCAGAAGACCAGCTTTCATTCCTGGCACCCACATGGCAACTAACAATCATCTGTAGCTCTAGTTCCATGGGAATCCGACACCCACTTCTGACCTCCATGGGCATTGACTGACACAGGTGCACTTACATACACACAGGCAATATACTCATACATGTAAAATAAAAAGACTAAATAATAAATCAATTCAGTAATCCAGGGTAGAAGATTTTAATTTGAGTATCAACTCTACCATTGCCTAGGCCTTTGTTTCTGATCAGATCATGTATTTCATGATTTTTTTCCCCATTTTTAAACTAGGAAAAGGAAAACGAATTACTTTAAAAAGTCAATAATCTGCAACTTCATTTTAAACTGAACAGCACTGTGTCTCTTTTATTCCATCTAATAGAAATGCCTGGCTGTTTGACTGCTAGCCTAGCCAAAATGGAAATGACCTCCTAGAAACTGAGGGAAGTTGGATGTTGAAAATGGAATTATATTTTGTTGAATTTTTACAAAGTTCATACAATATATTTTGATCACATTTAGATCCTCTCCCCTATTTACAACCCATTTACTACTGCCCACCCAATATTTTATTCCCTATTTTATATGCAGTGAGTTTGTGTATGTATATGTGCGTGTGCACCAATAGAGTCAAATATGTGTTAATAACCATTAACTCTAATTTATGTTACACCTATACTCCTGAATGTGGGGCCATCCACCACCAGCAGCCACAACCTTAAAAAAAACTGACCCTCCCTCCCATGGAAGCCAGCATCATTCCTCAATTAGGGGTTATGACTAGTGAGCCTCTCATTCTTCCATGTTTGAATATTGATTCACTTGATATTATGCAGTCAGCCACAGCTGCTGTGAACCTGTGGGTGTAGTGGTTCTATCACATTTCTCCCTGACCTCCAGCTCTTATGATCTTCCTGTCCCTTCCTCTAAAATGTATTCTGAGCCTTATGGGTGGATGTGGGGCTGTTATGACTTCGCTAAAGTCCCCCTCCCAACTCTCTCTGTCACTAGGGATTGAAGGATCAATCAAAGTGACTCTTGGTGCTTTACTTTTTAATACTTTCTGGCCCATTACTCAATTGTTAATTTTATGACCAATTACCTCATTTAATGACTATTAGGCTGAATGCACAAATGCTTTCGTAGCACAATATGAGCTGGTAAAATAATACAGATTGCTGCCAAATATGCTTCATAGTGCAGGAGTTTCTTTCACTAAGACACTCAGCCATGTCTTCTAAATTATGTTAATTTAAATGACTGTTATGCACATAGTTTAATTTTTTAGATATACAATAAGCCTACAGGAAACCAAATTATGTGACCATAAATAGAAGTACAAGTAATCCATGTGAAAATGATATTCTTAGAAAGCTTTCAGAAAGTAATATTGAATTCTGCTAAGAAAGAGAATTTAGTTTCTTAATAAATGTTATATCTTACACAACACATTTTATAATTTCACCTAGAAAATACTTGATTCAATTCAGATGGGAGGAAAAACCTGTATTTCAAGCACTAGGGTGGCTGAGGCTGGAGGATTACAAATTTGAAGGCAGCCTGAGCTACATAAAGACCTTGCCTCATAACAACAAAAAAGCAAACAAACAAATGAAAGATTTTACTCAAATGGGGATTTTAGAGTGATGCTTCATTCTTTGGTCAACTCCAATATTTTACCATTTATTTGTATTATTTCAAGTTATTTGAAGGGTGATAGTAACTAAAAATGTCTTCAGAATAATAAGTTTTAGAATTTTCATATGGTAAAACAGAATCAAGTATGAAAACACAATCAAGTAAGTAAAAAAAACACACACACACACACACACACACACACACACACACACACACACATAGAAGAAAATTTGGATTTTTTTCTTTGCTGGTTTCCCTTTTGTTTTTGAAACCAGTTCTCATTCTTAATCCAAGTGGGCCTCAAACTTGAAGACACCCCAAGTAGTACTGCAGTCATGTGTCACTGTGCTGGGCAATGGGCGAGCATATGTGAACAGAATTTAAAGATTCACCCATCAATTAATAAAAATATGAAGCAGCAAGTAAAGGTGATAGTTTCTAATGTGTTGAAACCTTGATCTAGAATACATCTCTTTTCATTTCTGGTAAACTTTCTACATTTTAAAATCTATCTGGTAATTAATTTGGTGGGGAAGGGGTTGTGTATATTTCTTGAAAACATACCAGATTAATATAGGAAAGCTGCACAGAGAAGGAAAGAAGTTTGGAGCCTAGGCAATATTAGGTAGTGCAGGTCAGTATAGAAAGAAAGAACAATTGCGGAGCATAGGTAAGGTCTGTGGGTTTGAAAAAAATCACCAGTTATTGCATTGGTGATATTTCCTGAGGATGCAGAAGTTGAGGGAGTGTATTTCTGTACTCTAAGGATGAGGTTATAATAATTTAAACTAAGATGGCAGGCATGGACTGGAAAAACAAAGGTAGGCTTCTGGATGGGTATGGATGGAAACAAATGATAAAATAATGAGATGAGAAAAATGAATATGTCTGGCTTTCTGGTTCACACTCCTAGATAGATGATATCCTTTCAGGAAACAGTGAAGCATTGAAGGTGTTAAGGTCTGTGTAGCTAAATAGACTTGAAAAATGTTTGAAGACTTTTTTAGCCTTGGGAACTTTGGCCAGGTATTCTTTCTGCAACTTTGTTTACTTATCTCTACAATGAGCTGTTTACACTGTATCAAAACACTGGAACTTACTAAAACAACACTGTGGTTGTTCTCAATTGTATTAGAGTTTAAGAAAATGTAGAAAATAAAATACAACAATAATTATAATTTTAAGTAAAAGTTTCAATTTTATGTCATTAAAAAAATAAAACGGGGGCTGGAGAGATGGCTCAGCGGTAAAGAGCACTGACTGTTCCTGCAGAGGACAGGGTTCGATTCCCAGCACCCACACGGCAGCTACGAAATGTCCTTAACTCCAGTTCCAGGGGAATCTGAAGCCCTCTTCTGACCTCCATGGCATTGCACAACATGTGTGCACTCACATACATGCAGGCAATACACTCATACACATAAAATAAAAATAAATAAAATATTAAAAAATAAAATAAATTAAATATTAAAAAATAAAATAAAATAAAATAAAACTGGCTAGAGAGTTGGCTCTGAGATTAGAGCACTGGTTACTCTTGCAGAGGACCCGGGTTTGATTCCTAGTACCCACATGGCAGCTAACAACTGTCTATAACTCCAGTTCTAGGGGATTTCACCACCCTCTTCTGACCTGCGTGGACACTGCACAACACTGAGACATTTACACACATGCAGGCAATACACTCATACACATAAATTTTTTTAAAAAAGAAAAAAGATCAAAATACATGTCTAAGGAATGGTAAAATATAAGTAAAATATGCACAACATCCTTGTATCAAACAAAGCAAGAGATCAAATTTCAGGGGAGAAATAGCTTGAATGGCTGGGTTGATCATGCTGTAAACTCCAGTCATGAATGCAATAATGGGACCTCAAAGTTCAGACACAGTGAAGAAGGAAAATTTGACAACGCAAAGAAGGAAATAGGAGGGAATACAGAGCTAAAAGTACGTGTATTATTTCAAACTATGAGGATGAAGAACGTGAACACAAAACAATATATGTTAGGAAATCACTCAGAGACTTGAGGATGTCTTTACCTGCTGTCATACAAAGCATAGCTACATCACTTTTTTTTTTTTTAAGTAAATTACTCCTTTAAGGGTCAATCACTTCATGACAGAAGCAATTGAATATGTGGGTCAATACATTCAAAACTAGTGTTAACTACTACTTATCAAGTATATCAAGAGGTGGATTTAAATTTCTGTTTGGGCTAAGTGTAGTAGTGCATGCCTATTATCCCATAATTTAGAATGCTAAACCAAAAAGACTCTGGTAGTGCAAGGTTAATCTGGACTCCATAAGAAGTACAAGGCTAGCCTAGGCTGAATAAGACCTATCTCAAATAAATAAAAGAAAGAAATACTGAAAATAATATATACAACTTACTCTAAAACTTCTATTCCTATTACTCCCTGATTTCATTTTTCAGCTCCGTGTGGTGGCCACTTTTCAGCTCCAAGTGGAGTGATTCTCTCACCAGGATGGCCAGGATACTACAAAGACTCTTTGAACTGTGAGTGGGTGATTGAAGCTGAACCTGGACACTCAATCAAAATTACATTTGAAAGGTCTCTGAAAATATTTTTTATCTTATGAAGAAAAGAATATGTATAAGAATGGTTGGCATTCACTATTTCCTTTGCCACATCAATGAATAATTTTATCATAACTGTCCATTGCTATGTCTTGAATGTTTCAGACAGTCTGCCCCCTTTTGACCTTTCAACCTGTTTTCAAGTTAATTGTCTATTTGTTTAATGCTGTAACCGTGCTATTAAGATAAGCAACACTGACCTTTTAGCTGTATGTATATGCACAATACCGAGTTATGAACATATGACCTTTAATTTAATGAGTTTAGTTGTCCTATATTTTGAAGGACTTGTGAATTTGGCTCTGCTGGACTTCAGGAAGCAAAGGTAATATAAACAAATTCAATTTAGACACTTATGAGTACTATCCAGATAACCACACTTACAACTCCCAAAAAATGGTTAGGTCATCAGCACATTCCTATCAATTGACAATTGACCTTTTCTTACTTAAAGTTATTATTGCTGATTATATAATAATCAATAGAATACTGCAATATTGAATAGTGCTGAGCCATCTCTTCAGCCCCATAATTTTACCATTTATTAAAGACAAGGGCTAATGTTCTTACTAATAAGATGCATGAGCTCATTTCTTTCTACATAAAGAATTTGATCTTGGTTGGCAGGGCATGCAGTATGCACAGATAATGAGCTATGGCTTAAACAATAGGAAATATTTCTCTTATAGGGCTGAAGACCTGGAGTCTGAGATTAAAGAATTCACAGTGTTGTTTCTTCTGCTCTCTTTCCTCAGCTATGCCCTGTGTCCATCTTTACTTGTTCTGTCTCACTGTGTCTGTGTCCTAAACTTCTTTTCCTATGTATGATCATACCAGTCATGTTGGATAGGAGTGCACTCACATGATCTCATTCTCACATACTGGAGGATAACATTTGAATTTATGGATTTTGAGAGGCATAACTTAGCACATAACAATTATCTACATATTTTAAGAGTTCTTTTTCCATTTTGTTTTTAGATAGCATCTCATGTAGCTCAGGTTAGCCTCGAACTCACTATGTAGATCAGGATCACTTTGAACTCATGGTCTTCCTGCTTCCCCTTTTAAGTACTAGGATTACAGGAGTACACTACTATGACTTTCTAAAAGTGGACATTTTAAGTTCAGAAGAGTTCTTGGCAGATCGGGAGTTATAGTCCACATTTTAATCCCAGCTCTATGGAGATTGAAGGGGAAGGAGACACAGAGACTTCTACAAAACTAACATGGGCCACTCAGGGAGATTCTTTTTCCCAAAGGAGGGGCAAGGGAGTGATGGCTCAGTGGTTAAGAGCATTACTGCTTTTGCAGAGGACCCAGGTTCAGCTCCTCGCACTCACGTGGCTACTAACAATTGTCAGTAACACCAGTTTCAAGGGATCCAACACCCTCTTCTGGCCAGAATTGGCGCTGTACACAGGGTATATTTAGATGCATGCAGGTGAAACACTCATACACGTAGAATAAAAATAACTAAATAATTACTTTAAAAGAACAAATAAGATTTGTTTTATGATAAAATCATACTCACTTTTCAGTGATTAACATGGATTGTGTTGCAATGGCAATTCTAGAACATTCAAAAAATAAATATTTTAACCAGGCATGGTAGCATAGGCCTTTAATACCAGCATTCAGGAGGCAAAGGCAGGTGGATCTCTGTGAAACTGAGGCCAGCCCGGTCTATATAACAAGTTCCAGGCAAGCTGTGGTAACAGGGAAACCTTGTCTCAAAAAACAAAAATATGAATAAATAAAAATTAATTAATTTAAATAAAGCAAAGTGAGGATTTTCATCATCCATTATCAAATATCTTATTCTAAGAAAGGGTCATTAACTAACCTTGCCTTACCACATATAATTATATTTTCTGAATATGAAATATAGCATTATACTGTGTAACTTTCAAAATTATATTGAAATAATGTGTTCTAGTTTGCATCACTTTTACTATGAAAAAAACCATGACCAAAACAAGTTGAGGAATAAAGTTTATTTCACCTACGAACTTATGGAGGGGAGACAGTGAAGGGGACCAAGGCAGGAACTTGAAGGCAGGAGCTAAAGCAGAGACCAAGGAGGAATGCTGCTCCCTGGCTTCCCTTTGGCCCATGTTCAGCCTGCTTTCTTATGCAACCCAGGCTCACCTGCTCAGGGGTGGCACCCCTCACAGTGGACTGGGCCATCTACATCACTCAACAAATAAGAAAATGACTCCCAGACATGCCCACAGGCCAATCCAACAAAGACAATTGCCAAGTTGAGGTGCCTACTTCCCTGATGTGTCAAGTTGACAAGTGAAGTTAGCCAGCACAATAAGAAGGATATTTAGTATATTTTTTTTATATGAAGCACGTTTCCTAATCTATCACAATTAATTGCATATTTTTGATGACTACATATCTTATTCATCAATATATCAGTACCTCTCACTTGGGTAATAAACATTGTTTTGTATCAGTCATAATGTAGAGTTAATTCATGTTTTTATATTTTATTGTTAGTAGAGTTGATGGCATCCATCAGTCAGATTTTCTCCACTCATTATACTTCAATAACCAAATAAAAATGTTGAGTTGGGGCCATGAGTCCACATAAAATTCACCCATAGTTTAGATCTAGTCAATTTACAGTGTTAAATAAACTTAAATTACGGGGAAAGAACACATAAAGTCAATTAAATAGTATGTATGTTATGCATGTTAAAAAAAGATCTGGTTTATTTCATCTTATAAAATAAATATATCTTTAAAAAACTTGAAAACAATAGAACTATAACCAAAAAACTAATGATAAAATCAATATTTAAAAACAGCATTTTACTAAGAAGAGAATTATTTATTTATTATTATTTTTTTTTATCAAAGCTCTCTTTTATCTGTAAGAACGCGAATGAGTTACAGGTCTGTGTGCAGTGTTACTATGCGGTGCCACATTATGGCTATACTGGAATAAAAACAGCCTGATTATTGATATCCATTTCAGCCAAGAGGAAATCCAAACTGCCTAACAAGCTGTTCCTTCAAAATTCTCCCAGAATTACAGAGGAAGAGTAAACCCTTGTCTTATCAGGAAGAGTTTGTCCTTTCTGATCCCTATTGACCTAGAATAGCATGCACTTACTAACAGATGCTATCAGTTTAATCCCATCTGATGTTTGCAACACAAATGAGGTAATATGTTGCTTCCAAGGATTATCAGCTGCTTGTAGGACTTGCTTTATATGCAAAATATGCACACATACACATATGTTGTTCTAGGTAAAGGGCTGGCATGGATAATAAGGGATTAAAGCTGTATGTCAAGGTCATAAGGTCACAAGTTTGTTCTACATTATAAACAAGCTGAGATAGTGTTAAAAGATCTCAAAGCAAAAGATTAATGTTTTGATTGCAAGGTTGTCCTGTCCAGAGTATGCCATTTTGTAAAAGACATTCCCACATCCGTGCATAAGTAGCAAAGATGTTAGCATTAGATTTCCTCATTTTTGTGCTTGCTTCAATCATTTAAAAAGTTTTACACAATTTAAGTTCTAAATTGCTCAGTTTTCTTACTTGAAAAGAAGGAACGATAACAAAGCAATATTAAAAGGGCTAGAGAGATGCCTCAGTCTGCTTCTCAGTACCCACACAAGGTAGCTCACAACTGCTTGCAACTATAGCTCTAGGGAATCTGACACCCTCTTCCGGCTTCTGCCTGTACTGCACTCATACACAAACCCACACAGACAACACAAATCACACATAAGTAAAAATAAAATTTTTAAAATTTGAAGGACAGACTGTATAAAATTTGTACAAAATTTATATAAAGCTGAGATGAGGCTTGAAATATATTTAATATTAAGATGAAAATTTGATTGAATATGAATACACAGTCATGCAGTTTCTATAGAAATGAAGACAGCAAATAAAGTGACTCAAAAGTTCTTACTTCATGAACCAATCATTTATTTACTAGGGACAAAACATAACATTCAAAAGATGTGTGTACACACCATTTCTAAATGATAATTTCATATATGAATAAGATGTTGATATTTACTACAGATGGGAATTACTCATAGATATCTGAAAAAAATGAAAGTGTTTTAAATAACTTAGAAGTACACTAACAAAAAAAACTTAAAACATTTTTCTCCTTATGTTTTATTATTTGATAATTGTGTCTCCTCATCCTAGATTTCAGACTGAGCTAAACTATGATGTTCTGGAAGTTCACGATGGGCCAAATCTTTTGTCACCATTGCTTGGATCTTACAATGGTACTCAAGTGCCCCAGTTTCTGTTCAGCAGCAGCAACTTTATATACCTCCTGTTTACCACAGACAACAGTCGTTCCAACAATGGATTTAAGATTCATTATGAAAGTAAGTAATTACTTTTTTTTTTTCATTTTCCCATTCTGATTGCTTCAAATTTGATATTATCATGTGTTACTAAAAGGAGTGAGAACTTTATTTATTTATTCTTTTAAATCAAAGCCTTCTTTTATCAATAAGAATGCTAATGCTTTGTAAGGTCTCTGCATAAGTAAATACTTCACATTTTCAATCCCTATTTCCATGATTTCTTCAAGATTCACTACACACTACTATAAATTTAGGTAAAGAACAGTTTTCTGTAAACTAGCACTCATTTAGAGTGAGGTTGAGAACTGGAGAGTATCTAAGATACTCTGCTAAAATCTAAGGAGATTGTATCAAGTTAGTGTCCCCAGACATTCCATCATTGCAAGTTCATCTACTGGGGTCTAATCAGCCTATTTAAAGTCCCTGGCTTGTAGGAAGATCAGCTTTTCCTCACCCAGCAGTAATCAGTTGCCAATATTTCTTTAGCTAAGATTGGGGTCTGCTGTTCATTTCCCCAGTTCTATGCTGGGTTTTTCCTCTGCTCCAGTTTGCATGGGTATTGTGCGTGCTGACACCTAATTTGACACAATAGGACTTCAAATGACAAAATATATGCATTCCAGAGGGTGGGTGCACTATAGGGGGGTGCTAGCGGGGAAGGGGGTGTAAAGATTAAGACTGAGAAGTTCTGTGTGAAATACACAAAAATTCAATTAAATTTTAAAAACTCTAAGGGGATTGTGCAAATGAAGGAGATATAATGGTTTGCTGGGAAAATAAAACACAAAATCAGTGAGGAGAATGCCACAAAGAATCAGTGCTGGAAGCTAATGAACATTAAGGATAATAGCATAGAAGAATCTAATTTGGTAACCTTAAATTTCTGGATGACAATGTTGAATTTGATCCCATTTGCAGTAGAATAAAAAGGCAATAAAATGTCAAGTTCTGAGAATATGTATGACCAAAATTGTATGTATAATAGACTAAAGATCCAAAAATATTGATAAAGAGGCCAATATTGTTGGCTGATCTAACCAAAAAGGTAAAAGTCTTGAATAGAACAAGGGAAGTTCAAAAACAATGACTTTTTCCAAGGAAATTTCGTACATTGTTTGTGGATGAAAGATCTAGCAGTTATGAATCACTAGGAGCAACAGCAGCAGCAGCAGAAACCACCATACAACCTTTCACACGACAGAATATTGAAAATACCATCAACAACCAAGAAACAGTTGGATTGTGTTGTTGTAGGAATGGACACCCATACCTTTCATATTTTGCAAAATTTATACTTGTTTGAATAAATTGAAAATAACTTAGTAAATCTGAATCCTGTCGATCTCAGTCTTGATTCTCCTGCCTTTGTTTATCAGGTGTTACAGTGAATACATACTCTTGTTTGGACCCTGGCATCCCTGTCCATGGGCGGCGATATGGCCATGATTTCTCCATTGGGTCAACTGTTTCATTTAGTTGTGATCCAGGATATAGACTGAGCCATGAAGAGCCCCTTCTTTGTGAAAAGAACCATTGGTGGAGTCATCCTCTGCCAACCTGTGATGGTAAGAACTCATCCAACTTGCAAAATATGTCTATTTATAAATCAATAGTAATTGATATAATCTTTGTAAATATAGGGCTAAAAATATCCTGAATTTTGGCAAGTTTTATCAAAACTGTATATCAGAAAAAAAAAAGAAAAAGAAAAACACTGATAATGCGTAAAGATTTTACTTAGCCATTTTAAAGATGTTGTTCTGACTGGGACAAAATGCCACACTGCTGTCAGGTGAAGACACTGAAGGGTCACATCAGCTTCTTGACCTGGAACACAACAGTTTCAAATGGAAATTAAGTCTGTCTTAAAATTTTTATAACTATGTACATAGCACCATGCCAATTTACACAGACTGGTCTGTGGTGGAAAATTCCAATTTGTAAATGCCAGAGTCATTTGCTACTGTTTTAATTTTTCTAAAAATAAACCAATGAAACTTCAGTTTTTGAACATGAATATGCAATGGGAAAAATATACTTCCCCTACGATTCCGAAGTACTGTGATACGTGTTGTGTCAAGAGGACACTCTGTTCAGCTATTTACAGCATGATTGACAATTGCTTACTCTCCTTCTAATGTGGGGGGCACATTTGTCATTTCATGTTAAATTTTTGAGTCCTTTCATCAGTGCTTTCATGTTTTAGAAACTGCCTTATGCCATTTAGTTTTTATAACAAGGTTTTACAGAATTATCAGTATACTACCCTTGTATTTGGTGGGATACCAATTACATTAGTCAGTAGTCTTGTAATTATGTGACATGAATTCACCATGCACTGATTTAAAAGACAAAACAAAACAAAATTTGTCCAACTCTTGAAATCTTAAAAGAGATAGAGTTTCATACTTGTAATAGTTTATTATAAACAGGAATTCAAATTTCATCATTCACTTGAGACTTTTGTTTGTGGATTTGAGTTATCTGTCACAGCAAGGCTTCTTCCATGTAGAGCATTAGCAGGCGCCTGGCCATCTTGAGGAAGACAGACTCCTTTATATTTAAAACTTCAGAATTATAAAAGATTAAGAACTCTTCCTTATTTCAATGAAAAAGCTCAGGATTGATAGCTGATTGATAGATACGTAAATCAGAGATTCTAATAAAAGAAAAGGACCCCTTATTGTTGGTCTTATATGGGTCAGGTGCTTACTATTTTTATGACTGAGACAAACAGTAAACGAAAATGATATAAAGGTACAAGGTTTGGCAGGCCTTGAAAAAGCCGGTCTGGGTGGATTATTTCTTGCCACAGAAGACCCATCCCAACTCCTGGTGGGAAAGATGAACATGTCATGAAATGTTTCCTACTGGCAGAAAATGCCCACTGAGTCTTTTTCTTGGAGAAGGAGAAGAATCAGACAGTTGGTCACCTTAAATTAAGTGAAAAGTATATAAATCTACCAAGAGCCTCTTTTCCTTGTCTGCCTGTTGGCCTGCCAGGGTAATGTGTGACTCCTCAGCCCTCACCTGCACCCATATGACTGCTCACACCATTCTCTAACTCCATTTTCTGGAGATCTGATGCCTTTTTCTAGCCTCCATGGGTACCAGGAAGGGACGTGGTACACATACACACACACAGGCAAACACTCATACACATAAAAGCAATAATAAATCTTTTAAAAATCCTTTTTAAAAACTTAAGTTTTAAATTGATTTTAGTATTTGAGATGTCTCATGATTGATTCTAGCAATCTCTTATACATTCATAGCATCTAATAGAACAGGTTTTAGAACATCAATACAAGAAAATATTCATGTATGGATTAGTGGCTTTTAAAATTAATTAAACTCATACAGTCTTCTTACATAGAATATGTCATGGTACATTTTTATCAATTTTCATTCTAGTCAGACTCTTGTAATTGATCAAGATGATAACCATATGAAGAAAATACATAGCAAAACATTTGCAATGGAAAATCTCACTTAAGAAGATAAAAGATTTCATTAGGTAGATGCAAATCAAGAGGCAGATGATGATGGTAGAAAACTGTCAGTGACATGTAAAATAATGGAAAATGAGAATTTGGAAGAGCCCGACCAATTAAAAAACATCAACAAGAATATTGACACATTAAAAATACTTAAAAAGAGATTGACTTGAAGATGAAACGACTGAATAACTCTCAGAAAATAACTGACAAATTTGTGGTGTTTTGTTGTTAGGTGAGAATCTTGCTATGTGGCCCTGGATGACCTCAAAACGGGGACCCCAAGCATTCCATGTATCTCTGCCTCAAAACGGGGACCCCAAGCATTCCATGTGTCTCTGCATTCCATGTGTCTGTGCCTCCAGGCACATGCCAAAACACTGAGATCTTGTGACTCCTTCGAAAATAATCATTGATGAAAAGAGTTACAAAGTTAATCATAAATTTAAAATATTATAGGTTGCTACAGATTTTTTTTCTGAAAAACATACCTTATAATGTTTTAGGAAAAGATCAACATTTGATTCAAAGTCTGCTTATGATTATGCAGAGCTGGGCCATTTATGTCTGTGTACTGTGTAATGATATACATACACACACACACCACACACACACACACACACACACACACACACATATCTATATGGAGAAAGAGAGAGAGAGAGACTTTTTCTATAACCCCAACTGATCTACTTACTACATAGGCCAGGCTGGACTCAATCCCACAGACAACTACTTGCTTCTCTCCCCAAGTGCAGAGACTGTGCCACCAGACCTGACTCAGTATATTTTTAATAGTAAAGAAGAAAGCTGAAATTATTAATGATGAAAATTAAAACTGAGAAAAAACCTAGAGCAGCTAGGCTGAGAAAACAACCCGTGCTTATCAGTCCCTGCTGGCTTGAGAAGACAAATCCTGCTTTACCTAGGACACCAGTCCTCTCACTTGCTTGAGAAAAGGAGTGCCTAATCTTTTCTCTTGATATTTAAACACACTTCCTCCTTAGAATTCTAACTGTGGCTCCCCATCTCTTTTATGACATGCAGATTAGAGAACCCTGCGCATAACCCCTGTCACATAAACTTGGAAGCCCTGTGATCCTGGTTTCCACCAATCCCAGAGTGGTGTTGAAATAACTACTGGAAAAGAACTGTAGCCTATTGCTCAGGCTTTGGAGATAACTTTCCTGGGCCTACTGCTGACAGAATCAGAACTAAAGATGGGACTGTGGCTTCTCATTTTGTCCTTGATGCCTGATTTGAAAGCTGAAATTCCATTACCACAGCTTTTCTCATTACATTAGGGCTGTTGAAAGGGTTAATTGACTCAATATAAATAACTTTCAGAGTTGTGCCAGTCATACTGTTTGGCTTTGTTTCTGCTAAGATTTAACAACTATTTGTAACCTATCAAAATTGTATTAGTTTTTAAAATACGGTTATGTATTTTCATATTTAGTTAATGAAATTGCATTTGTAAGTCAAGTTCCTTCAAGAATTTTCCCAGTATTAGTGACTTTTTCCATTTTAATTCTTTGACAGATTCATCTATGTACATAATAAGTTTTACTTGCTTCTGTCCCCCAGTCCTCTCATACCCCTCTTTCTTCCACCTAAACCCTTCTTTCCAAGAGTTCCCCTCCTACTTCCGCACTTCTTTTTGTGTGTGACCCACCGAGTTAATTAGTGTTTCTTCCAGGGACATTGGTGAGAGGTTATTTACTGGAACTCGAACAATTTATCAATGGCTATACCATTAAGAAAATTATACTCATTCCTCCAACAACAATTAACTGCCCTTACTCCCTCTGGGAGGGATTGGGCCACAGCTGCAGTGAGTTCATAAGTGCAAGGGCTGTGTCATATTATCATTTCATTACATATCTCCCCATCCTCTGGCTCTTATTCCTTTGACTACCTCTTCTATGATGTTCCCAGAGCCTTGCAGAGGAATCATATAAATGACCCATTTAGGAAAAACACTTACCCTCAGTACTTTGGCCAGTTATGGATGTCAGTGGTGAAGGCTGAGCTCTGCTCTAATTGGTGGAAAAAGACATGTGTATTTAGAAGACAATTTGACAAAATGACTCTTTAGCAAAATTATAGTAGAATGTTCCCCCCTGGGCCTACATCCTCTCCAACCATGGGTTCTTGACCAGATTCAGAGAACCAGGCTAGAGTTCTCCAAGCAGAAAACATTTGGGTGAAAGAGGGCACGGTCTTGCCTGGCTGGTTGTTATTTGAGCTCAGTAAGAGTGTTGATGACTTCTCTTCCCCAGCAGCCTGGTACTGTGAAAATTAACAAGCAGGGGAAAAGCTTCAGCTCAGTTCCAGTGTAATTTCTGTATGTCCTGTGACAAAGTATGTGGTGTCTTCAGCAACGGGGACTTACCATCAAGTTCTAGTGGGCGACCAAGAACAGTGGCAATAACCTGTATTGTTTGGGGGACTTTGGACCTACCTTACAAAATCTCATAAAAATGCATCCCACCCCTGACACTGGAATTTTTGTCTAATAATGCATAGCTTGTGGGAAGAGTATTATCAACCCAGAGAAGGTATTTCCACTCAAACTAATTTTTTGATAATATTTTATTTTAAGAAAACAAAAACTTCTATCTACTACATCATAAAAAGTGTACTTTATATTTAGATTTTAACTGTATTCAAACAAACACTACAAATATTCTTTATTAATATATCATATACTAATCATTCTTCCTAAATTTCAGAAGAGGATATGACATGAATTGTTTATGTTCCTTAAACTTCTTATTTTCTATGTAACTGTAGGTATAACTTACAGAAAGAAAATCCCCAGGCACCTCTCTTTGTATAGAAACCAGAATAGTCAACAAAGTAACAAAAGAAGAGCTCTCCCTATATCCCCTATATGTATGCTTATACACACACAAACACACAAAAAGTACACACGTTAACACAAACATGCACACATAGCAGTACATAGGGAGCATACTTCCTAAAGGTTTTGTGCATCTGTTTTTTGTGTTTTTTATTAATATTACCACTTACTTATAAGCCATTTTGTACCTTGTAAATAATATAAAAACATAAGTACATTTAAACAATATGTCTATAATATAATCATATACAAAGATAATTTTGAGAAGAAAAAACACCAAATATTTTTCATCCTTTTTTAGTTTTAGGTTTGACTGTTAGTTTGATAACACTTAATAGCATTAGAAAACCTTAATCTAAGTTCATACTTTTGAAGATATGAATTTTTAATATAAAGTAAAAGTCTTTTGAACTTGAAGGCATAGCCTGATTATTGGTAAGGCTTTAAGCAGACTGAGCAGTTTAAAAAGCTTAGTTTTCAATTTTGAAATAATTTTTATATGTATGAGTGCATTGCCTGCATGTATGTAAATGCACCTATTTTATGCAATGCCCAAGAAGGTCAGAAGAGGGTGTCAGATTCTCCTAAAACTGGAGTTATAGACAGGACGGTGTTTAACTGCCATGTGGTTGCTGAGAATCACACCTGGGTCCTCTGCAAGAGCACCCAATACTCTTAACCTCTGAACCATCTCTCCAGACGCAGCTTAGATTTATTATAAAATATTTATTTTTACTTTATGTGTATGAGTATTTTGCCTGCATATAAGTATGTGTACCATGTGCATGCAACTGTACCTACAGAGGCCAGAAGAGGATATCAGATCCCCTGGAATTGGAGATACAGATGGTTGTAAACAGCCATGTGGTTGCAAAGAACTGAGCCTAGGTCCTCTGCAAGAGCAGCCAGTGCACTGATGAGCCATATCTCCAGCCCCAACAGCATTGTTTTTAAATGACTTTTTTCCTTCAATTTAAGTTGGACAAGATTCTTGAAAGCTTGTCTTTAAACAGGAGAGCAGATAGTAACTGTTACTACTGCTTACTGCTTTATGTTATAAGTTAAACTTTATCTTAGAAATGTAAGGTATTATTTATTATTGTCTTGAGACAATAAGATAGTCATCTTTTTATCTTTAAATATTTTTTATTGAATTTTTGTGTATTTTATACAATATATCTTAGTCACATTTATTCCTCCTTCCTTATCTGCACCCCCCTCATAGCCCGCCCGCAGGACTTCATGTATTTTGTCACATATGTTAAGGCCTATCAAGTCAAGTTTGTATACCCAGATGTCCCTTGGTGTGCATTCATTTACTAGAGCCTGTTCAACCTGTCTAGCTTCACTCCTTTAAAGAAAATTAGCTTTCCCTCACCCATCAATGAACAGCTGCCAGTAGTTCTTCACCAAAGTTTTTTTGTGTTTTTTAAAAAAGGTTTTTTAGCCTGGCCTGGTGGTGCATGCCTGTAATCCCAGCACTTGGGAGGCACAGGCAGGCGGATCTCTGTGAATTCAAGGCCAGTTTGGTCTACATAGTGAGTTCCAGGACAGTTGGGGCTACAGGGAGACCCTGTCTTAAAAAGGGTTTTTTAAAGTGCATTTATTTATTTAGTGAGTATATGTATGTATGTGTGTGGGCATAAATATCCCATAGCACACTTGTAGAAGTCAAAAAACAACTTGAAGGAGTCAGTTCTTTCTTTCAAACATGTTAGCTCCAGAAACCCTCCTCAGGGATCAAGCTTTGCAGTAATTCCCTTTACCAAACACACCCATCTCTCAGGTTCATTTTTTGTGACTTTTTTAGTCTTAATTTAGCTCTTCCTTTCTGTATATTTGTTGACTAAGACGTTTTATTCAGTCTACAGTCTTCATGAAATACAGTCTTTTCATAGAGATGCACAGGTTTTAATTGAATAGATAAGTTTTACTGACCACATGTCACTAAACGAATTCAAACCATGTTGCCTTAATAAAGTTTTTGTTTGGTTCCTAGATTAGAGCATAAGATTAAATATGGTATATTAGGAATAAATGAACAAGTTTAACATATTCTAAGAAAATAATCAACGTGTTAGACATGGGAAAAGTGGCTAGGTGGATATAATACTTTCCAGAGTTGAGATCCCCAGAACCCACATTAAAGCATGGCAGGCATCGCACCACATATAATATTCCTTGTACTTGGGAGGCACAAACAGATGATTCCCAGGGCAAACTGACTAGCTATGCAGTGTAAATACTGAGCACTGTGTTGAGTAGAGACCAATGTAGGAAGACACTTGACATCAATTTCTGGCCTCCTTATTTTTGTGCACACACACGAAAGCACATTTGAACACACATGAGCTCACCCACATGAGCTCACACACAGGCATGCATGCACAGCACATGCAAAAAATCTGAAAGAGAAAGAGAGAGAGAGAGAGAGGAAGGAAGGAAGGAAAGAAAGAAAGAAGAAAGAAAGAAGAAAGAAGAACCATTATCAACAATGTATCAAAAGATCATAAAAGTCAAAATGTCCTTGAAACTATTTGGGAGCTCTTATCTAATTCCTAAAAGATTTGAGGGTTACCTCTTCAAAGGGAGGAATGTTAGAGTAGAAAAAGAAAGCCCAATTTAAAAGAAAGAAAGAAAGAAAGAAAGAAAGAAAGAAAGAAAGAAAAAGAAAGAAAGAAAGAAAGAGATTTACAAGGAAAATAAACATCTCCTTAGTAATGGCATTTATCAGCAAGATAGGGCTGAAATGGTGTAGTAGGTCTTCGTTTGATCACAAAATACAGCATGTTTTCTAAAATATTAAAAGGAATTGAGAAATTCAGAATCAGTAATTAACAATGGCAGAATACATTCATCACTGAGTATTTGTATAACTTTCCAAATCATATATATTTTCATAATGATTTGATAATTTGTATGTTTGGAAGTAAGTGCTTGGTTTCAGGAAGATAGCCTGTTTAGATGACTCAAAAGAGGTTCTGGTCAACAACTCAATACATATAAAAGAAATAAAAGGATTTATGGTTTCAAATTTTCAATAAATATAAAAGGCCAAGCCTTTGGGTATCAGTGCTCCTAGGAATGTTAGACTCAGGAATTCCAGATAGGTGCAGTTACGGAGCAGCCAGATTAACTTATATCTTCAGTCTTATCACTGATACATGGAAAAAAATCACAATCATGGAAAGAAAAAAAGCCAAAAATCACTGGTCTGGATTTTCTGATCTTCTGAGGAAACTGGCCACATTCTGCCCTTTTGGTTCTGACTGCCTTTTCTTTATCCAAGGGAGTTTGCCATTCTGGGTAGAACAGGAAAAGATTGCCACTGCGTCCATAGAATATACATTTTTACTAGACTGTATCTTCTGTCTATTCTAATTATTAACACTGATAAAAGTACAATGTATAATATAAGCACTGATGTTTGTTTATGTGCTAGAATATTGATTTTTTCTTAAATAAATTTATATTGCATCAATTTTATTAGTTATAAATTCATAAATATGTATTTTTCTTCACGTTTTGGGACATTTACTCACAAATCCATGCCCCCACAAGAATATTTCTTTGCTTATGGTATTTCTCAATGAATTACAACTGTGAAGAAGACTTCAAAACTTTCACAACTTACTTCACTGTTTTAAAAAGAATCCCATGAAGTGTGACACATATCCCCTTAGGAATCTATAAGAAACAATTTTACATAATTAACTCATTTCTTAGTGTTTAATAAGAGAAGCTGCAAACAATTAATTACTCATATCTAATTAACCATCAACTTATGCAAATGCTGCTTATAATTAGAAAAGTGTAAGTATATACTTCAAATTCAAATGTGAAAAGCTGAGCTATGTTCTCTTGGGGCAAGTACTAATTCTCAGAGACTATTAATACATTTTTCTTCCCTAGTGCTGCAATGGATGAGAGGATTTTGTAGTATTGTACGAGGTCTTTACACACTCCTCTTATTACCAGGAAGTTGATTAGACAAACATAATGGAACTCATCCTTTTCAAGAGAGGAGATAAGAGATTTGTTCAGCCTCTGCCTCTCCAAGGGTGACTGACAGTAGCATTCTCTTTTTTATTTTCAGCATTATGTGGAGGAGATGTCAGAGGGCCTAGTGGAACAATCCTATCACCTGGTTACCCAGAATTTTATCCAAATTCTCTCAATTGTACGTGGACTGTTGATGTAACCCATGGAAAAGGTAATTTGCTTGATGCAGTAATAATTGTCTTATCTTCTCAGTATTTATTGGGTCTAATTTAGACATATTCCATGACAAAAACCAGGAAAGTACTAAAAATTTCAACATGAGTAACTGTGGCCTGGAATTATATTTGCTTTCCTATAGTATTATATTATACTCGTTTGACAACCAAAATGTGATATGAAATACTTGCTTTTCTTTGATATATTAAATTATTTGCAATTTTATCAATAAAACCTGAAAGAAGTTGGCTTTTGCATGGGCATAGTATTAAACAGCTAATATCAGAAGTTTAAACAAGACTCCAAGGCTGCTCTACAATGCCATACCAGTGGCAAAGCAAACAGTTAATATTTGTGTTTAGTTCATTTTTCTTGCTTATAAATTGTACCTTTATTATAATATCTCCATACAAATTATATACTAGTTATAGGAATTATGATTGTGAGGAAGAAAATGATGGATGTGGTGGCCTGGGTTAGGCAGGGCGTGGTGGCTCACGCCTTTAGTCCCAGCACTCGGAGGCAGAGGCAGGCGGATCTCTGTGAGTTCAAGGCCGGCCTGGTCTACATAGTGAGTTCCAGGACAGCTGGGGGTACAGGGAGACCCTGTCTCAAAAAAGACAAAAACAAAACAAAACAAAAATCATTCTGTTGCTGTTTCTGTTGGTCATGGGTTTGACTTATAAATTCTGTAACTCTATAAATTCTGTAAGTACTTGAGTGCCAAATTATCCAGAACTGAACATCAAATAAGTCTCACATCAAGAAGATAGATTGTAAAATTTCACTGTACACATAGTAAGGGTTGATAAATATTCTTTTACAAATAAGGATATAAGTGAAAGATATGTGGGACTGTAATTGTTAATTGATGCAAATGAAGAAAGACTAGCAACTTAGCAATACATTTGATATAAGGTAATAGTAAGGAAAAGGATACTGAAAAGATTATCGCCTTAATACATTAAAGCGAAAATGCTTTAACATTGTTTACCTGGAAATACCCATGGACCAGTCTTCAGAGTCTGCTCTTGAGAAGTAGTTTTCTTTTTAAACTGTTGTTATTGGAGCTGGAGAGATAGCTCAACAGTTAAGAGCACAGGCTGCTATTGCAGAGGACCTGGGTTTGATTACCAGCACCCACATGGCAGCTAACAACCATCCATTATTCCATTTCCAGGGGATCCGATGCCCTTTTTAACCTTCTCTGGCATTGCACGACATGGTGAATCCACCTACATGCAGGCATTACATTCATACACATTAAAAAAAAAAAGAATAAAAAGTTATTGTTACCTTCTTATTACTGATCTTACAATTATACTTAAATTTTACTATAGAACTCCTGAAAGTAAAGTAAAAACTAGCAATGAGTAGTGTCACAATTTGAAAAATGAAAGTTTGTTACCATGTGTGATGATGCTTGCCTTTTATTCCTGCACTCAGGAGACAGATTTAGGCAGATCTCTGTGAGATCAAAGCCAACATGGTGTACACAGTGAGTTCCAGGCCAGCGGAGACTATGGGGAGAATATCTCAAATAATAATAAATAAATAATAAAGTAGAAACTTGTTTCAATTAATCTAAATTTTTTTTGCAAATGAAATCTGACTTTGATAAAACTTATTGAGTCAAGGATTATGTATTGATGGTGATAGATTTCCACTATGATTTAAATGTTATTGAGGAAAAAAACACTAAAATGAGAATGGGGTTGCTAAATAACAGCAATAATGTTAATATCTTTATAAATCATAGTTTTTGTTTTCTAGGGCATAAATCTCTTTGCTAGATGTTAAACCAAGAATCCTATTATTTCACTGTGGAGTAGTTTAATAGAGTTTTAAATAAACTCCCTAATATAATACAAGAAAATGGAGGGCTACAAGCTCCTTGCTATGTAAACAGAGGTTTAATTAACACTTAAGGTTTCACATCTTCACAGGTTTTAAGTGTTAATTAAATCTGTATTTACATGGCAAAGAATGCGGATTTAGATGCCTTTCTTTTAAGAGCTCACATGGTTTGCTTAAAGTATTATTGCAAAGACAAGGCAAAGTTATGTGAAGGACTTCAAGTTGGGAGAAAAAATATTATGACCTTTTATATGGCACACTAATTTCTTTTTATAGGGATCTAGAAACATGATGAAGAATTCTGTTATGACTAGTTCCTAAAACAGAGAAGCCTATTCCTTAGGAAAAACCTGCTCAGTCTTAAAATATTTGGACCTGTTTAATTCACTGAAGTTAGAACACACACCATCAAAGCCATAATCATCAATCAATCAATCAATCAATCAATCAATCAATCAAACACTAGAATGCCAGCTTTCCCATTTTGAAGATGTTCCAGCTATGGAAATCATTAGCTCTAAAATGTGATGTTGCATAACTTAACACTAATTGATACAGATAGTTTCCATTAATGAAACCTGTACTCCTTCTCCTAAACTCTACTGTGATCTCACCATGCTACTATCTGATAAGGAGATTTTAACCATATAACTCAATGTTTTAGGTTACCGTAATTTCAAATGACAATTAACCCCAATGCCTAATTTTCTGTCATTATTATGCAACTATGTTTCTACTTTTATGGCAGACTGTTATATTTATTTACTCTTACTAAATTCTATCATGTTATTTTCCATTCAAAGATTCTATGACATCATGCTAAAATTATTTACATTTTACTTATATTTGTATTATGTAGTCAGAACATTCTTATGCATAACCATAAACACCTCTACTTTAGAGTTTTATAAGAACCTTCACTAGAATAGATTAAGTATCTAATATTTAGGAATAAGAACGTTTCAAATGTATCACCAATAATCTCGTCAGTATTTAACATTCAGTTATGGTCTTTGGAAACATAAGATTGCCCAACAATTTCATATTTGTTAACTACAGTGTCATTGAGCCTATACTGTTTGTGGTTTACAATGATATTATAAGAAATTTTCCTGAAATATATTAAAGAAATTAGGATGCTAATTCTAGTTGGCCATGAAAGCTGATGTCATTAATCCCAGGACTCAGGAAGCTGAGGCAGGGATTCATGAATTTGAGACCAACCAGCATAATCTAGGGAGGTTGAAGTTATTGATGGAAAATGAAATTTAAAAAATAGAACAGAACATAAAACTGAACAATACTTGACAGTAGCTTATATTAGAAAGAAACCTGAATTTTTCAACAAATTCAGTGTATAAGAAACATATCTTTCTTAAATATATAAGCTGCATTTGTACTAATTTTTCTCAACTTTTCTATCTTTGTCTATTTTGTTTTAGCTTTCCTTGATAGTGAAAATAAAATTAATTTTTCTAAACTTTCCAAATTGTTCTATTTTGCAGAGCTGGATAAGGCAGAGGAGTTGAAAGAACGTTCTGGCCCTGTCGACACTCCATTCTCTTTGTACCTGCAGTAGTGTCAATTCCACTCCTATACTAAAGAATATTTGAAATATTGTTTCAATTTCTGAACTTCCTCTTGGGCTCTGTTATTCTTGCTCCCTGCCAAGTTTAGTAGCCCTATTTTGAAAAAAAAATGAAAAATAATCTTTTTGTATAAGTTACATTGTATAAAGCATTGTATAATACTATATTGTATTATACACTGTATAATAGTTTGTTTTCCCAATTCAAAGTTAATTAGTTTTGGCCTTGTTTTTTATCTTTTTTTTCAAAACCATTGGTGATTCAAAGAATTTTCGGTGTTTGGTGCTAAAATGCAATAGATAATGTTATGGGACTCTGAGAAACTTGGATTTCCTTAATGATTATTTTGCTGATTTTTCACAGGTCAGCTTAAAAAGTACTAATAAACCACACCAAGAAAAAGATGCATGTACTAGTCCTCTATTTCATATGGCACATTATATACAGCATTTGTGTATCCATGTTACTGTTCATGAATTTGTCATTGTTTCATATGAGTTTTTGAATGTCATTGAAAACTAACACGAAGCCACAATATCCAGCCATACTCTGTAGAACAGAACAAACAATTCCCAAATATTAAGGATTAGTAAGACTACAGAGCAAACATATTTAGCTATGGAAAGGTAAGACAACATAGCTATTTTGTAAAACCATTTTTCTTTAAACTGAATATATTACGCATAGGAAGCAGTAGGTATTTATCCAAAGACAAAACTCCATCATTGTAATATTTGCACATTCAGAGCATCACCATCTATGTTTATGATAAAAATGCAGAGCACCTCAACAACCATAAATAGTTCAATACATAATTAAATATAGTAAATATAGTACCCACAATCAGATGGAATAACAGAGACAAGCCGCGCATAAAGTTGAGTGCAAGTCAGACCCCAAAGAGTACCTGATCCATGATGCTGTACTGTAGATTATAGAAGCATTTTATGAAATAGGAAAACTAGTCTGTGCTGTTGGAAGTTGGTGAAGTGAAGAGAGGGAAAAGTTTCCTGTAAAGCGTGCTGGTGTTGGAAATGTGCCCATTGGTTTGGGTATTATGTACAAGACAGTATTCAGTTTCTGAAAATTCAATAAGCTGTATGATAAACTTTATATGTTTTCTTTAGATCATATAGAGAGTTGAAGATGTCTGAAAAAAATAAAGGGTCATTGTATTTTTCTAATAAATAGTACCTTCTTATTAATTGTCTGAAGTAGACTTGTTTTGAAAGTTGGAATCTACTTTTTTAAGCACTGTTCTCATGTTGTTTGAGGAGACTAGAGAGGGCATGGAAGGTAGTCACCCGGAAGCTGCCAAGGACACTATTTTCTTTGAAACTTTTAAAACTCAAGTGATCATTTTTCAAGCATTATTTCCAAGTTTTCTAAAATATGACTCACTATATCTTTTATATGTAAACTCATAGAAACACAAAACAAAAATAATTATACTGTACATCAGGAAGATGGCAGTGAAGTTCATTTTTAGAATAAGCAAGATGGCGACTTTCTATGATTTACTAATAATATACACTGTGAGATGTAATTCTAATTTTCCTGTTTTTATTTAGGTGTGCAGTTCAACTTCCACACGTTTCATTTGGAAGACCATCATGACTACTTACTGATCACAGAAAATGGTAGTTTTATGCAGCCTCTGGCAAGGCTGACTGGCTCAGAGCTTCCTTCCACAATCAATGCTGGCCTCTACGGAAACTTCAGAGCTCAGCTGCGCTTCATTTCCGATTTTTCAATATCATACGAAGGATTCAATATCACGTTCTCCGGTGAGAAAATAAAGAAATAAGAGCTCCTTTAATAAACATTATATCATCAAGTTTTTAAAAATATTAGCCTAACATGACAAAACAGAGAAGTAAATTTTATGGAAAAAAATGAAAAGAGTTTAAAGTAGAAAAAGAAAGGAAAGAAAAAGCCTGTCAACATGCTTTAAATTCCCAGGAGGTTGTCTCCAGGCACACATTGGAGAACACTATAACAAAGTTTAAAAAAATCAATTCACTAAAAAGCCACTAACAGTATAATCATTACATTCTCATTATCTTAAACTGTTGACATTCTGAAGGGAAAAACCAGCTAAAATAGTTACTGATTGTAAAATAAATATTCACACCCACATACACACATACACGCACACATATAATCTCTAATTATACATAACTGGTATAAAATACTATATATACAATATATAGACATATATTATTATGTAATATACTTGTGTATTGTTTCAAACTAAAAAAAAAATGTGAATTAAACCAGTGAAATCTATCTAGTTTCAGCTATTTGACAAAAAATATACTGACTAACCAAGATTAAGATAAATTCATTTCATTATTTGGAAACTATGATCTAGAAACTAAGTATGATTAAGCTTTCCTATGGAACAAACTGATTTATAGATAAATAGTATTGTTACCAGAACACCTGCCCTTAATGTTTGGTATAGAGTCTGAACCACTGTCATCATTAAAAGAAAACAACAGATTATATACCTCAGAATGAAAATTTTAATTTATTTACAGTTTTAGTCAAACTTGAGAGGGAGAGAAATTCTTCATCTGTCGCTACCTTATCCATAGGAGTATTAGAACTTAGAGTAAACAGGAGATGAAGGATAGGAAATACATGTAGATTTAGCTGTTTTTCAGTTACAAGAGCTGGGCAATAGGCTCTCTCCTGTGTGATGACTCTCCTGGTACAATGGCTCTTATGTTGTTTGGCTGTCTTCAGTTTCAGCATATTTCCAACAGGGATCCTAATTTCAGGGCAGCTTTACAGTATGACTTGAGATCTAAGGATGGTAATTATCAGACCAATGACTATAAAAAGTATTCATATAGCATAAAGTTCTACTTTATAATTGTAATGAGATAAACTAATTTTATAGAGAGAAAAAAATTAATGAATAACACTTAATCCAACTTAATAATAGTAAAATTATTTACCTATAATACACATTCAGTCATGCAAATGCATTCTTGTTCTACTTTAAAACTGTTTTATATATATGTACAAATACACAGTACAACACAAATGTTAATCATTGTTTTTAAACTGTTTTATTATTTGAAAAAATCAATAACTATAGGGCTGGAGAGATGATTCAGTGGTTACGACCACTGACTGTTCTTACAGAAGATCCAGGTGCAAGTCCCAGCGCCTACATTGCAGCTAACAACCATCCTCAATTCCAGTTCCAGAGGATCTGATGCTTTCTTCTGTCTTGTGCTTGCATTGCATGACATAGGTGCACTAGCATACATACAGACATAACACTCATACACATAAAATAATTTTTAAAAAATTAGAAAGACTTTTACTGGTCACAGTCGCTTACTTTCTGAGTTCCTTGGCATCTGAGTATGAATATAAACTAGTCAGATAGACAGCCTTCTTCCCCCACTAGAGCCTGCATACTCTGTCATCCCTGCCACTGTCCACTGTGTTGTCAGGACCCCCATCTATTCCCCCCTATCTGCCCTTCTGGTAA